GGCATGAGCTTGCGGCGCGCCATGGCCGCGGCGCGGTGGCTCTCGTACTCCACGAAGGCGAAGCCGCGGTTCTTCATCTTGTCGGCTGCGCTGGCGTACATGATGACGTCCAGCACGCCCTCAGTGACCTTGGCGATCTCCTCGCGCTTCTTCAATTTGGGGATGCCGCCAATGAAGAGGCGGCAGTTGTCCACGCTGCAGCACACGCCCAGCAGCCGGCCCGGCCGGATCTCCTAGTTGTTGATCTCGCGCACTGCGCGCTTGGCCTTGTGCTTGTGGCAGTACATGATGAAGGCGTAGCCGCGGTTCTTGCCGTCGAAGTCCATCATGAGGCGCAGCTCGTAGATGCGGCCCACGGCCTCGAACACCGGCACCAGCTCGTCCTCGTACACGTCGCGCGAGATCGTGCCCACGAAGACCTCGCAGCCGCCCTGCGGGTGTGCGCCCTCCCAGCCAGGGGGCGGCCCGCCGTATTTGCCCTGCCCATTCTCCTGCACCATGCTGTAGCCCGTGCGCTCCATCAGGGCCACCAGGGCCGCCTCGTTGGGAGCTCCTGCCACACCCTCAGGCACCTTGGCCGAGGACGGGGTGGCAGGGTTGCTGCTCATGGCTGCGGTGGAATCCTCTGCGGTCATAATATCAAAGGCATCCACGGCCGCAGGACACCCAAAATCACCAGTTTGGTTGGTCTGGTTCTTTCTCAGACGCGGAACAAGAGTATACAGGCAAATTCAGACAGTGCACTCGGGATTTCTCTGTTCAGTTTTTGAAGTCCCGTTTGCAACAAATCCAAACCTCTTCAATGAGCCAAGGGATTGGTGTGCTCTCCTGGGTGACCAGGTGCAAGGGGTCCTTCTAGCTCCTTTGTTCCTCGAGCTGGGTCCCGCAGGGCCTGGCGAGCGAGTGCGGGAGGCGGTCACGCAGCCCGGCCCTGACCTCCGCAGGACCTTCACAGTGGGGCCTGGGGCCTGGGAGCCCCTCCTTCAAAGTGGCTCATTTGAATGCGCTCTGACCCAGTTTTACAGCTGGTTTCTGTTTACCCGGGAGCTGAGGAGCTCCTGCATTGCAGTGGCGAGCTGAGCCCGCTGGCAGCGCCGAGTGGCCCACAGGAATGTAAATTTAGATTTTTATTTGGGGACTGAATAGAGTATCATATTGAAAAACTGACAATGTTCATTTGTCCCTGATTTGTGCCTCTCATTTTTATTTTTTATTGTACTAGGGATTGAGCCCAGGGATGCTCTAACCCTGAACTAAATCACCAGCTCTTTTTATTTTCTTATTTTAAATTTGGGGACAAGGTCTCGCTAAGTTGCCTAGGCTGGGCCCCGACTTGGGATCACCCTGCTACAGCCTCCCAACTAGCCAGGATTATAGGATTTGTGGCACCATCCCTAGCAGGTGCCACCTTTTCTTTTATCCCTAATTAAATGTCTAGGAATATGGTGTGTAATAAAGGAAAGTTAAAAGTTTGATTCACTTCAAATATGTAACTTTACATTTTTTAAGTAATCTTTTCATTCCAGGTTTTCTACCTATGTGAGAATATGATTGTTTAACTATTATCTCTGAAAATTTTGGTTTATCCGTGCTATAACTCATCAGTGGACATTTCAGTATCCCTCTTATGATAACTTATGAAACAGGTAGATGATCAGAATTAAGATACAGAAAAATGTGGCAACACTATAAACCAACTTGATTTTATAGAACCTTCTACTCAACAAGAGTAGAATGTATGTTTTCTTAAAAGTGTAATGGAATATTTAACAAAATAGAAAATATTCTGTGCTATAAAATATATTATAATAAACTTAAAAGAATTCATATCAGATAAAGTATGTTCTTTGGTCACATGGAATTAAATAATAAATCAGTTACAGAAAAATAATTTTAAAATTTCCAAATATTTGAGAATAAACAGCACACTGCTAAATAACTTTTGAATCAAAGAAGATAAATCAGAAAGTGGTTTGAAAGAAAGAAAATGGAAACATAACATCAAAATTGTGAGATGTATCATTAAATTAGTACTTAGTGGGAAAGTAAGCTAAAAATTCATATTAAAAAAGAATAAATGTTTTACATCAATAACCTTACCTTCTTACTAGGAAATTTAAAATGGTAGATTAAATTAAGCATAGAGTAAATGAAAAGAGAGTCAAGTCCATTAAGGAAGTACTAATCGGTGACATTGAAAAATAAATCAATGTCATGGAAAAGAAAGAAAATCAGTGAAACCAGATTGGTTCTTTGAGAAATTAATAAAATTTATAAATCTTTAGAGATATAGCTCAAGACTGAAAAATGGTCAGTATCAGTAATGAGAAAGTTGACATTACTATAGATTCTGCAGATATTTAAACAGTGGTTCTCAACTGAGGCTGCTTTCTTTAGAGAATTTTTGGCAGTGTCTGGAAACTGAATCTGGGATCATTGCTATGACATCCATATAGTGGAAGGAGCTCAGGAGTGTTATTACAAACCCCACAATGCATAGGACATGTCCCCTCAAAAGAGAGTTATCCAGCCTAAAATGGCAATGTTTTCCTGTTAAAAACCTGCATCAAAAGGATAACAAGAGATTATACATAACTTTAAGCCAGTAAATCAACAACTTACTTGAACCAGACAGGTTCTTTGAACAGTATACACTCAAAGCTCACTCAACAAGAAATATCGTATGTAACCCAGTGTTTATTAAAGAGATTTGTAGCTTAACAGCTTCTCACAAAAGAAACTCTAAGCCCAGGTACCCTCACTGATGAATTTTAGGAAACATTTAAGGAAGAAATAGTATTAATTCTACAAAATCTCTTACAAAAAAATTGGAAAGGTGGTAATACGTCTCAACTCATTCATTAAACCTAGCATTGTCTTGACACCAAAATCAAACAAAAAAATGACAAACCAATCAATCCAACTCTTTCTACCGATCTATCACCTATGTATCTATCTATCTTCTATCTGCACACCTATCTAGTCATCCATCTGTTCATCCATCCCCCTATCCATCTACCCATTCATCCATGCTGGTTTATCCCAGGAATTCAAGGTTAGTTTAACATTTGAAAATTAATGAGTATAATTGTGTTAATAAACTGAAAAGAAAAGCCATATGAGCAGCTCAATAGGATTTGACATAATCAATCATCCTTTCTTGGTGAAAACTCTCAGCACTCTAAAAATAGAAGGAAAGTTCTTCAACTTTATGAAGGGTATTTATGAAACACCTAAACTAACATCATACTAAAAGTAAAAGAACTAAATTGTCTTAAGATCATGAACAAGTGAAGAATATATCCTTTCAGCATTTCTTTTTTTTCTCTTACTTTTATTCATCATTTTGCTGGAGGATCTAGTTAGTGCAATAAAATAAGAAAGAGAAACAAAAGCCATCCAGATCAGAAAGAAGAGTTGTCTTTATTGATAGGCAATACAATCATTCATGTAGAAAATCTTATCAAATCTACAAAAGCAACTAGAATTAGTAAATGTGTTTGTAGGATAGGTATAATATACAAAAGTTAATTTTATTTCTATATTGTAGCAATGAACAACTGGAGATATAAGAGTACATTGCAGTAGCATGCAAAATATGAAATATTTAAGAATACAGTAAATCTGACAAAGCATTTGAAAAACTTTCTGCTAAAAAGTAGAAACTATTGTTGAGCAAAGCTAATGAAGGCTTAAAAAAATGATATACTATGTTCATGGGTTCAAGTATTCATTTTAAGACATAAATTCCATAAATTTATCTATGGATTCAACAGAATTCTAATAAGAAGTCACACCAGGTTTTTTTTTTTTAAGAATTGTACAATGAGTTCTAGAAATCATGAAATATAGGGCTTAGTAAAGAATAATTTTGAAAAAGAACTAAATTGGAGGACTAACACTACCTGATTTCAAGACTAATTACAAACATCCATGAATCAAGACAGTATGGTGTTAGCATAAAGATACACAAGTAAATAAATGGAACAGAACAGAGACTAGAAATAGACCCACACATACATAACAACTGATTTTACTTTTCAAAACAAAGGGATGATAAAGAAAGGATGATCTCTCCAATTGTGCTGAGACAACTGGACACCAACAAGCAAAAGAATGAATATGACTTTCTACTTCATGTCATATACAAAAATTATTTCAAAGTGGTTGATAGTTGTGAAGCCTAAAAATAAAAATTCTAGAAGAAAATATAGGAGAAAACTTGCGAACTTCTTTGAGGTAACAATTTCTTAGGTATTAGACCAAAGGGACAATCCATAAAAGACTAAATTGGTATTTTTTTGCTCTGTTAGGATACTGTAGAGATAATGACAATAAACTACAGACTGATAGAAAATATTTACAAATCATTGATCTAGTAACTAATTATATTCAGAATATATTTTTTAAAACTCAAAACTCAATACATAAGCAATCCAGTTTTAAAAATCTGTAAAAGATCTGAAAAGACATTTGAAGAACATACATGATAGCGAACAAGCACATGATAGAAGATGCCTGATATCAGTAGTCATTAATACAAATGCAAATGAACCTCAGGAGAGAACACTAGGTGTATCAGAAGCCATTTCTTAGAACTAGACCTTCAGCATGTCATACCTTTACTTTTGATCTTCATTTCCCCTTTGTAATTAACCAGGGGCAGAAATAGACAGTTTTGAAAGTTTCCTCAACTGTTTTGTTATCTCATGTGCAAATTTCCTTTCCACTGGCCTAGGCAAGCATTGCTACCTTAAATACACACACACACACACACACACACAGGGAAGCACAGACATGTCAATTCACAGCTTCACCCATCTGAGCAAGGGAAAGGAGCAGGTCCTTAGAGGAGCAGAGTTCCCTGATCCACATGGTGAGCTTTCAGGTTCTACCTGCTGGCATTCTGATAGCGTTAGGAGATGCATTAGAGAAACTATTCTATTCTTACTGGTAGCACCATCTGTAAAAGCCCAATCCAGTGGAAACTATTCTATTCTTACTGGTAGCACCATCTGTAAAAGCCCAATCCAGTGGAAACTATTCTATTCTTACTGGTAGCACCATCTGTAAAAGCCCAATCCAGTGGTGGAGTGTGTGTGTGTGTGGGATTCTTATGGTTGCTAGGTCTTACACTGTCATTGGAGGTACATAGTGAATTCCAGATAAGGACAGCAAGTTGTATTTGCCGCTAATAAGCCTCTCTCCTGGAATCTCTTTAAAACTATAGGAAAGAAGATTTTAATGGGATAAGGAAAGAATGGGGAGGAGAAAACTGGAAACTTTTGGAATCTAGAAGGCAAATAAATAAATGCTAACAGACTTAGCAGATACAAGGAAGTTGACTCAAATCAGCAGTAAGAGAGCTGATTTATGCCAGTTTCTCTCAAAAGCCTTAAACTGGTAGCATTGTGTACTTCCTGACCAAGAGAGGAGTTTAAACAAGGAAGATTAGTTGAAAGCTTTTAAGAAGTAATCTGATCTGCTGCTCACCTTGCCACTTTGTGTAGTCAGACTGTTTCTCCTCCCCTGCACTCAAAATATATGCTCTGCAGAGGGAAAACTCAGGTACCTGGAGGGGAGAAGAGTAGGAATAGATGGAGCTTATTCCTGGATTCTGAGACCCCTCCATCCTCCCCACCTTTCTCAGTCCCCAGGACAATGGCAGCCCAGTCAAGCCTTTGTAAGTCCTCAGGGAATCTGACTAGCCCAAGAAGAAAATTTTAAAGATACTGATTATGAGTTTTCTGATGAAACAATTCGGCCAGGTCACTGTAGGGTGAAACTCACTCTCCCCACGTATTCAGAGTTCTCATTCACCCAAATAAGCAGGTGATCAAGGATTATCATGCATAGGAGGAAAGCCCTTATATGAAGGATCCAAA